CAATGCCCCTGTCACTGTGATCTACGATGACAACAAGAGACCCTCAAACATCCCTTCACGATTCTCCGGATCCTTGTCTGGCTCCACAGCCACGTTAACTATCACTGGGGTCCGAGCCGAGGACGAGGCTGTCTATTTCTGTGGTAGCTTCGACAGCAGTAGTGCTGCTCGTATAGTGATAGGGTTAGGGTTAGGGTTAGGGTTTTCAAGATAAAGAGGAGTTTAAAATGGAGTTTTTCAGCCCTTCTTATGGCCAAGCAGAGTAGTGGATGTGTGGCTGGGACAGGGTTTTGTCTCCTCTGCATGGCCATGGCTATAAAAATTTCCTCTTTTGTGTTTATAGAGCATTAGAGGGGACTTTTTGGCTAGGGACCATTGTCCTCGTGCCCACAAAACTCACGGTATGGCTTTGTCACACACCCTGCTACCTCTTGCTACTGATGACCATGTCCTTCTGCTGCTGCCAGAGCTGCACCTGGGCTGGGATGCATTAGACTGGGCTCTGTTCCCCAGATTTACTTGTGACTGTGTTGCATCCATTATCCTCTGACTGGCATTCCCCATCCCACTTCCCAGGGACGGCTGTGCTCCTGGGCACTTGCTGCCCACTATCTTCCCCCTTCTCTCCCCTCCCTTTTCCCTGGTCCAAGTGGCACTGTATCAGCCATCCTCCATGTCAGCCAACGTGAGAGAGACCATGAACATCACCTGCTCTGGGAGTAGCAGCTACTGGTATGGCTGGTATCAGCAGAAGGTATCTGCCAATGGCCCTGTTACTTTATGACAAAACCAAGAGACCCTCGGACATCCCTTTGTGATTCTCAGATCCCAGTCCGGCTCCACGGCCATGTTAACCATCACTGGGGACCAAGCAGAGGAAAAGGCTGTGTTGGCTGGGGTAGCAGCAGTGCTGTTGTAGCTCTTGCTTTGCAGGGTTTTGTCTGCAATTCCGTCCTCATTCTACCTCCACTCTGGGGCCCAAGCTGTGCTGAAGATGTCCCGTTGCCTTTGTCGCACACTGTCTCCCCACACAGCTTCTCGCTGCCTGGGGATGCCCTGCTTTGCTGGCCTGGCTGCTGGACCCCTGGCTGCTGGCCTGGATGTGGCCCCTGTTGAGACATGGGCAGGGGTCTCTCCAGACTGCCCCTAACACTGCATGTGGACAGCACTGCATGTCCCTGGGCTGCCCAGTCTCAGTGCCAGGGATGAGGTGTGTCCTGAGAGGCAGTGCTCCAGACTGGCCACAGCAATTGCACAAGGAGTGCCTGGGTTTGGGGCTTCATGCAGAGTGTCCCATCTGTGTGCCTGCAGGCAGAGTTGTCCCATCACTCTTGCCCTGCCCGGGCGGGACTGTGCTCCTGGATCATTGGCTGTCCCCCCCCTCTTCTTTCCTCTCTCCTCTCCTTCTCCAGGTTCCCTGGTCCAAGCAGCACCACTGAGCCTCCAATCCTCATTGTCAGCCAACGTGGGAGGCACCATCAAGATCGCCTGCTCTGGGAGTAGCAACTACTATGGCTGGTACCAGCAGAAGGTCCCTGGCAGTGGCCCTGTCACTGTGATCTATAGTGACACCAATAGACCCGCAAACATCCCTTCGCGATTCTCCGGTTCTGCATCTGGCTCCATGGCCACGTTAACCATCACTGGGGTCCAAGCCGAGGACGAGGCTGTCTACTACTGTGGTAGCTTGGACAGCACCATCAGCTCTGC